GAACACTTGCTGCCACAAAACCAAAGGTGTTGCCTGCCATTATCGCCAGGAGGCTGACTTACATGCACGCAGATGCTGTATTTACTTAGGTTGTAGAGGAGGCGGACATGGATGGCGTCTAGATTATATATACACTGGAGGCCCGGTGCCCGAAGTTCATGCAAGAGTAGGCCTTCCTTCCCCTGGCTGCCAGCATGGTCTTCCTTCCTGGCCCTGCTTTGTCCGGAAGGTCGTCCGGAAGGACGTCCGGTCTGATTAGCATATTATGCTTTTATTCTTATAGATTCTTATAGATAGATCTATCTAGATAGATATACACATATGTACCCTACATAATAATGAGCTAATATGCTAGTTAGACCGAACAGCGGAATGACCTTCTGGACCACCTGGGGCTGAATTTCATGCATCAGGACTCATGTGTGTGTGTGTGTGTGTGTGTGTGTGTGTGTGTGTATCATCAGGACTTATTAAATGTCTTGAGTCAGAAGTGAACTTGCCCAGTTTCTTCTTGAGAACACAATGCATTTTCTCTTCATTAAACTCGTGGTGCTCTCCCAAACCGGTTTGGTGGTGAATAATGAAAGAGATAAGGGAGGTGTTAAAAGTAGATATTTCACACCCTGTGCAGCCCAGGGTATTTTTCCCATTAAGAAAAACTGATCGACAGCATTGTATAATACCTTCAAATTAATTAAACCTTATCAGAATTTCTTGTCTGCTACTTCCTGGAATCTAATTGCCACATATACGTCTTCAGCTAGGCTTTCCCGTAAAATCTGCACTGCCTCCCTTCAAGGACTTATAGGCAAGTGACATACACCTTTTTGGTTTTTAAATTTTTTTTTGTAGTTGTCGTTTTACTTACATCGTTTTCCAAATTATTGACCAAGTATCATTTTTTTAATCACGAAAATGCTGATTCTTATTTGCTGTTGTGTTGAAAGTGTTTTTCTTATAGAACACATGCTATATAACCTGTCAGTTGATGCCAGCAGTATCATGGGGAAAGTATTGTTAATTTAAGACCTATTTCTCCCTAGCCGGTTTGGCTCAGTGGATAGAGCGTGGGCCTGTGGACAGAAAGGCCCTGGGTTTGATCCTGGTCTCTCGGGGTGAGGATTAAAAATAAAATAAAATAAAACCTATTTCTTTCAAGTAACCTTAGCAGTCTAAATTGCCTGTTTTGGACAATTACATTCATCTGGTTCTCTGTCCTTTTCCCTTGTGGCTGTCCAACCAAAGTCTAGTACTTTGCTACTCAAAAGTGTAGTGTAGGGACCAGCAGTCGCAGCATCCTAGGTCCTAACCCAGATGTTGATTTAGAACATGCATTTTAATGAGCCCACCCCCAGGTGATTTTTAATGTATACTAAGGTGTAAAGGTTACTGCTCCAGGTTAACATTGCAGTTATTGTGGGCAAATGTCCAAATGCTACCTTTTTAAAATACACACACACACCTATCCACTGAGCCAAACCAGTTTCGGCTAAAATATATTTTTTTATGGTTGATAGTATTACAGATATTTCCCATTTTACCCATTATCCCCTTCCTCTGAGCCCTTACCTACCCTTCACTACCCTATTGTCTGTGTCCATGGGTTATGCATAGCTTCTATATATATAAAAGCCTAAGTGACCATTCAAATGTTCAACTGGTAGCTATGGTGCACACTGACCACCAGGGGGCAGACGCTCAATGCACAGGCATGGAATCATGGAACAGACTGATGAATCTCAGAGGGGAGGCGGGAGGGAGGTGGGTGGGAAGAGAGTAACCAAAGATCTTATATGCATACTAGAGGCCCGGTGCACGGATTCATGCACTGGGAGGTTCCCTTGGCCTGGCCTGTGGGGATCAGGCTGAAACCGGCAGTCTGACATCCCCCAAGGGGTCCTGGATTGCGAGAGGGTACAGGCCAGGCCAAGGGACCCCACTGGTGCACGTGTACTGGGCCTCTAGTAAGTATATAAGTTCTCTGGTTTATCTCTTCTCGTCCCCCCAACCTCACATCGAGGTATGTCAGTCTGTTCCATGCCTCCATGCATCAGGTTTTATTTTGCTGGTCAATTCATTTTGTTCATTAGATTCCACAAATAAGTGAGATCATGTGAATTTGTCTTTCTCAAATTGGCTTATTTCACTTAGCATAATACAAATGCTATTTTTTAATAGGCCTGTTCTAAACATAGATAAAACAAGGTTGACTTATAGCAGTGAACCATTTTGCTTATCTATGTATATTTTACATACATTTTATATAAAAGTGTATATATATTATACCCTCTAGTAAAATTTTATTTTAAAAATAATTATTTTTATGCTATTTGCATTATTTAACTTGTATGCATTTTTTTAACTTTGTATGCATTTTTTTAAAAATAGGAAACATCTGGAGAAAATGACACATTGGTTTCATAGGAATCCATTAAAAGCCACAGCTCCTGTTTCTTTTAACTACTATGGCGTAGTCACTAGTCCTGCTGCTTCAAAAATTTGCAGGTAAGTTTCATCAATCTCAACAGGTATTGGTGAATCACCCTTGGGTACCAGGTACTTATTTAAGTCTCATGGTCAGTCCAAAAGTATGTAACACACTGTCCCTAAACTTAGACTCCTTACAAACTTATAAGTGACATGAAGAGTTAAATCATAGATTACTTAAACTTTGTCAGGCCAGAGTCCTTAGTTTTAAATCAGTGAATCCCAGAGAGGCTAAAGCAATCACAATAAAAGAGTTATTATAGTGGTATAAGAGACTCTACAAAGTCATATATGAGTATTGTTAATTGGCTGGATATTAAATTCATTGAGTTCTGACCCTATGACCTGAATAGCCCTCAGAGTGTTCATATAGGAGAATGGCATTTGAATAAATTGTATAGCTTAGACCAGGTTAGCAAACCCATGTTGAGCAGATTTGGCCCACTGCTTGTTTTTATAAATAAAGTTTTATTGGAACACAACCCCTGCACCCCCATTTATTTCCATATTGTCTATGGTTGCCTTTGCCTCCTCTCTACAACAGCATTTCCTACAGAGGCTTAGATGACCCAGAAACCTTAAAGTATTAACTTCCAGGCCCTTTATAGGAAAAGAAGGCTGATTCCTAATGTAGATAGTAAGAAAGAAGACGATAAGTCATTTCTATCAGGAAAACCTTAGTTCTAGAGTAGTTTGGAACGAAAAGAGATGCAAGAGCTATTTCCAAGGAGAGGTCAGCTGGCCAGATTTGCTGTGGGAAGTTGAAAGCATTCATTGTATGTGAGATAGAGAACCAAGGTGATCAAGGCATTGATGGTACCAGTAAAGGGAAATCAAGGGAGATGCTGCCTTTTTGTGGGAAGAAGTAATTGGAGCAAAAGGTGGGAAAACTCTCTTGGTGCTTACAGTTAAAATGTTGTCTTTGGCCATTTGCACACAGTGTCTCCAGACATTGTCAGTGTGATGTGATTTCTGGAACCCTCACTCAGCAAGTTGCCTTCTGAAGTTAGATGTGGAGCTGGAACAGGACCAAGTTGGAGCCGATGATGTAGCTCTAGGGTTGGATAGAAAGTTGCACGAGTAGATGAGACCTCAGAAGGGAGAAAAGTAGGAAGCTAGGGACTGAACACTTTTGGAGTAGGAATGAGAAGGGGGCATAGAAAAAAATGAAGAAGGAACCTTTAAAGATAAGAGGAGACTCTTCAAAATTTAGAGTTATTGGAGTCAAGGGAGAAAAGAATTTCAAGAAGGAAACAGTGAATCTACAACATTTATTGCTGCAGAGAAGTAAAAGGGAAGGGAGACTTTTAAAATGACTAATGGCCACGCGTTTTTACATATTCTTTAGGTGTATATTGAATTCCAGAATGCAATTTCATTTTTAAAATACGGGTTTCTACTTGATAAAGTATATTTCTACATAATACCAAATTTTGAAATTTCAAGAAGATACTAAAATCATGCACAAACATTCAGTTTCCATTTTTCAAAATTTTATTGTGAACTGGGCCGTTCAGTTTACTCGTTCTTAAGTCCTTCCTCCCATCTTACTTAAGTGATTGTGTTTATTTAGTTTTTTAAATTAAAACTTGCTATATATATTTTATTACGTTATGCCCATGATTTGTCCCTTTAAATTAGTTAATTTTAGTACAACTTTTAAAACAATTGTTACTAAAAATTTCAGTTACCTCCAGTGTTAGCCCTAATAAAATTCATTTCTGTGTACTTAGCAATGCCTTAGAGTTTTGAGTGTGTGTGTGTGGTGTTTTAAAAGCTACAATTGACGTTTTCAGCCACTTTGACGCAGACTGGTTGTAATACCGCTTACTAACTTGACTGTCTCTGTCTCTGGAAGTGACTTGAGGTCGTCCCGGGCACGGCTGCTTGAATTGTTCACGGATTTGAGCTGTAACCCAGAAATGATGAAGACTGCGGCCGATGCGTATTTTTCCCTTTTACAAGGTTAGTTATTTATACAAACTTGGGAGTTTGTAAAAGACAGCTATGCACAAGTTCACATTTCATTCTTAGACTTTTCAAATCAGAATATAGTCTTCTGGGCTGTATTCTTTGGTATGCTTGAGGTTCAGAAATGTGAGAATGTAAGAGTGGTATGTGGTCTTTCTCACATTTTGAAAATTAAATGTGTTCATATTTCATAATGCACTACTTGAGAGAAGGTGTGAGATACAGAAAGGGAGGGAGAGGTTAAGAGTTTCATGCAGATACCTGGAAAAGTCATTATATGAAAAATTTCCTAAATTTAATACTTGATGTTGCTTTCTAAAACTGAAATGTTTTGTACCGTTTATAGGTTTCATAAATTCATTGGATGAATCTAGCCAAGAAAGTAAGTTACGATATATTCAAAATTTCAAGTGGACCGATACATTACAAGGACAGGTTCCAAGGTAGGCAGTGCTAACAGTACTATATTGAAGCCATTTTTTAAACTATTTAGCCAGTCCTTAACTCATAGCCCCTGTAGTTGAAGAAATAAAAAATATAGACCCAGTCAGTATTTTCTCTTACCAGGAAATTAATTTTTAAAATTTCACCTAAACTCCTAATACATGCTGTTAAGTAAAAATATAATATTTCTGCCCTGACCGGTTTGGCTCAGTGGATAGAGCGTCAGCCTGCGGACCCAAGGGTCCTGGGTTCGATTCCGGTCAAGGGCATGTACCTTGGTTGTGGGCACATTCCCAGTGGGGAGTGTGCAGGAGGTGGCTGATCGATGTTTCTCTCTCATCGATGTCTCTAACTCTCTATCCCTCTCCCTTCCTCTCTGTAAAAAATCAATAAAATATATTAAAAATATATACATATAATATTTCTCCTGGGCCAATTCTGTTTTTCAGATAATCAGTACAAATGTTAACTAGACTTTAATAGTTTTGACTTTTAAAATTATTATTTTTTTATTGACTTCAGAGAGGAAGGGCAAGAGAAAGAGAGATAGAAAGATCAATGATGAGAGAGAATCATTGATCGGCTGCCTCCTGCACACCCCCTACTGGAATCGATCTCCTAACTTGGGCATGTGCCCTGACTGGGAAGCAAACTGTGACCTCCTGGTTCATAGGCCGATGCTCAACCACTGAGCCACACCGGCTGGGCCAGCCTTGACACACACAGAGTGTTCGGAAATTTGGAACCCAAAGCTAGCTTTCGGTCTTTGCCTACATTCAGGCAGAACAGAATTTGGTTTTCCCCTCCTTTTCCTTTCTGATGAATAATTCAGATATCTTCGTTCAGTCTTTCTTCCTCCCCAAGCCCACCCCAGTTCCATACTCTTTTGATTCACAGTATCTATTTGCTTCCTAATCTCTCTACACTGTTTCTGCTCATTTTAAAGACTCCCCCTCAGAACTTTCTTACCGCTTATTTGAGACTAATTAGAAGAGATCTAATTATAACAGGAAGCAGATCATAATGGTGCTACATTTTTATTTAACTCCTTTTTTTTTTTTTTACACCACTGAGCTATTTAAGTGGTTGTGTATCTTTATATCAACTTGCTAGAATTACTGTTTTCTAAAGTCAGGAGGGAAGGAAATGGAGACGGCTGAAAGGCCAGACAGACACGCATTAGAGGCAGGAGGGTGGGCCTTGGATTCACACATAACGAGGTGCGGTCTCAGGACTTGTAAGTGTGTGTACATCCGCCTCTTCCGCTGCGTGTTGGGGTTGCAGGTAGAGGCCTTTGTGAGAAACAGAACAGGAACACTTATCTTAAGAGACGAATGTAGCGCCAGGCACATAACAGGCATTCGGTGAACGTGAGTTTCCTTCCTTCCTTGGGAATGTGGTTTGTAGAAATCATAAATTGGGTAGGAAGTGGGGACTCTGCACCCTTTCCACATTTTGATATTCTGGGATCCTGAAATTCCCAAGTCCTCATTTTTTGTTTTTCTTTCTGTGACTCCTTTGTATTTTATCTAAAATTAAGGAATATTTTTATTTTAAAATATCTTTTTTTAGAGAGAGAGAGAGAATCAAACCGCTATCTATTACATTAGAAAACTTGGGCAGCTCCTAAGACTGTTTTGCATCACATACATTTGGCACTTTTCCCCACCGTGGCAAATGTTGATTCCCGTAACAGCATTTCCCGCATAGTTTTATGAGACAGTGCAGAATAATGTGATAGAGGCCTTAAATAACACTACTGAATATTCAGCACATCCAAGATATTTAAGTAACTTTATCCTTGACTGCTACTGATATGCAATAGAAAATACACTTACGAGTATAGGATGAGTATAGCTTTTCTGAAAAATGTTTCCTCAACTGTATATTCTCTGACCACTACTTAGATGTGGTTCAATAAAAGTGGAATATTTGGGAGCGAGGCAGATTGAAATAAATGAAGGAAAGTGGGAGTTATTCCTGTGACTATAAGTTAGCAAAGCTATTTTATTACTTAAAAGTAAAGTTATAAATTAGAGATGCCTACTAGATCACCAGAGGTGTAATCCATTTGAAAGATCTCAGTGCTGAAAAGAATAAGCCATGAAACTATGCATTAAATTTTTTCAGATAGTTTGTTCATAACATATTTTCGTATAACATTAAACAGTAGTTTATAAGTTATTTTTGAGTTACCATATGTCTTATAACAAATCTTTTTTTTAATCTAAAAAGTTTCTATGTCTCCATTTCTTTTAAGATGGAGGCAACAAAGTAGAATCGTGATTTTAGTTTCTTCCCTTTGGGTAATTTTTCTTTATCTTAGTATTGTGTGTGTAAAATAAGGGCATTGTTTTTTTCCTCATTTGACATAGATCATGTATTAAGGAATTGTCAGGGTCTTGGCAGAAGCCTAATGATTAAAAATTAGCATTATCTTATTTGCTTAATAAGATTTTGTCATCTTTGTGTCATATTTAGAATAGAACCTGAAGGAAACAACATATAAAATATACTTGAGTTTAAGACCGTTTTCTTTGTCGTACGCTGATTGGCTTAGCTCAACATCCTCTTCACTTTCTTTCCAGCTTGGCTTTTGCCTCTGTTCCTCGATTTGTTTTTAGGAACCATCTGTTCCAGTCAGGCTAGCGGGGTCTCTGCAGTCAGGAACATCGCCAGACCTTGTGCATTAGCAGCATCGTTCCCTCACCTGCTTCCTTGCAGCCATGTTTCAGGGCACACTTCAGATTCTGTAGCTGCATTAAGCGTCTTTAATTATTTAGCCTGAAACCATCTCTCCTCTGAATTCCATTTCCTTAAAATGTGGTATAAGAGCCACCAGCTCCAGAAGCAATTGGGTACTTGTTAAAAATGCAGATCCGGGGCCCCTCCCAGACTTTCTGACTCTGGGATTGAGTTCCAGAAATCTGTGTTTTTGTTTTTATTTTATTTATTTTTTAAAAAATATATATTTTATTGATTTTCTTACAGAGAGGAAGGGGAAGGGATAGAGAGTTAGAAACATCGATCAGCTGCCTCCTGCACACCTCCCCTCTGGGGATGTGCCCGCAACCAAGGCACATACCCTTGACCGAAATCGAACCCGGGACCCGAGTCCACAGGCCGATGCTCCATCCACTGAGCCAGACCGGTTAGGGCCAGAAATCTGTGTTTTCAAAGCTACTTTATGTACAGTAACCTTTGGGAACAACTGCTAGTCTTATGCTTAACCTCTATCGTCACTACATTCAAAAACCTTGGCTTACTGTTATGGAGTACATACTGGGCAGTGTGTTTGGTCCTTCATTGTTAATTACATGTGTGTCTTATCTCTCCGTCTGTGTTAAACACAGGACTGTTTTCTTCATTTTTCAGTTAGTGTAGAGTTATCTATAATTTTGAGTTGGATGTACCAGTAGGTCTCAGGTAGAGATGGCTTAATAATTGACAACACTTAATGATCATGTTTATGATTCTAGTGCCCAGCAGGATGCTGTCTTTGAATTAATTTCCATGGGATTTAATGTAGCTTTATGGTACACCAAATATGCCTCGAGACTGGCTGGAAAAGAAAAGTAAGTTAAAAGGGGATGGTTTATATGCATTTGTGTTATTTTTCCAGTATATGGAGCTTTGTTATTAAAAAAATCTAGCCTATTGATAAAAAGTACCACTTTGGTAAGTGAAAGATTGCCTCAAAATGTTAGCATATTAAGCATCAGAATTATGGAGCCCAGTGTCAAAAGGAGGGAAAAAAATGAATAATCTTGTCATGGGGAAGGTCTTTTTAATAAAACCCTAAACCAAGGAAAGGAAAAGATTGAATATTTGAGTATGTAAAAGTTCTACAAACAGAATTTTTAAAATGACAGATGGGTCAAAAAAAGTGCAATGCATTATACAAATTATTTTTATAAAATGACAGATGGGTCAAAAAAAAAGTGCAATGCATACATCCCAAGGCTTATCACACCTGTAGTATTACAGATTATTTTTATAATGTATATTCTTACAAGTCAACAAGGAAAAGACCAACACATCTAATGAAAGTAATCAAAGGTCATAAATAATTCACAGAAACATAAATAAAAAGGATGCAAAAGATGTCCTGAAAGATTAAAGAACTGTGAAATAAAATGAGATACAATTTTTATAATCGTAAAAGTAGATATTAACAATACGAAATCCACTACCAGCTCTGGTGCATCTGAACACGGGACTAATATGCAGCCATTTAAGAGTGAAGTTGATGGATGGGGACTTGGCTTGGAGTGGTGAACACACAACTCAGTATCCAGATGATGTCTTATAGAACTGTACATCTGAAACCTATATCATTTTATTAACGAGTATCACCCCAATAAATTCAGTTTTTAAAAAATGAAGTTGAATTGTGTAGGCTGATGTAAAAAGATCTCTAACATAATTTAAGGGGTTTAAACAGGAGCAGAGTAGGACTGTTGTGTATTTATGTGTTTTTCAAGTGTTGTGCGTGCATTACGTGTCTGACGTTTGATGCCATTTACGCACAGAAGATCATCTGGAAGGGAAAACAAGAAGCCTTTGTTCGGACCACTAGACAGCGTCTCTCTTTTCACTTGTAGTTTCTTCTCTTTGGGTCTTTTTCATGTGCATTTGTTAAATGTCAAGTTAGATTTTCTAAAAGGAAGAAAGCTAGTGGTGAGAAACACAAATGACTAATTTGGTTTGATGATACATAATGTATTAGTTGTTGGTTTTAATACCAGAAATGGCTTTGATCCTCAAAGTAATGTAACCACCGTCTTTAAGCATTACAGAAGAGGAAGCAAAAGAGGTCCACCGAAGCCTGAAAATTGCAGCTGGGATTTTTAAACATTTAAAGGTAAAAAAAATAAGAAGATATATTTCTAATGCTTTAATTCTTGAAAAAAATTTTTTTTAAATATTTTTATGGATTTCAGAGAGGAAGGGAGAGGGAGAGAGAGATGGAAACATCAGTGATGAGAGAGAATCATTGATCAGCTGCCTCCTTCACGCCCTGCACTGGGAGTCGAGCCCACAACCCAGGCATGTGCCCTGACCGGGAATCAAACATGGACCTCCTGGTTCATAGGTAGATGCTCAGCCGCTGAGCCACACCAGCCAGGCTTGAGTAATTTTTCTTTACTTCCTTGGGGTGGAGGATGAGGGCATTATTCATTATGTAAAAAGTACTAGTGTGTGTTCTGGTTTCATTGTGTTAAGTACCGTGTTGATGAGTGGGGCCAGTTATAGAATAGTGTCTCCATTTCAGAAAATCACCAGTGAATTTTATAATGAGAAAACTCATGTCGTGATTCACCGTATATTTTTCCGTCTCTTCTGAAAAGGCATTAGACAAAGCCCCGAAATTGCTGGTGCTGACTGGTTCTTATTGCTGTCTGCAGCAGTGGCCAGAAGCAGTCAGACTTCCACACAGCTCAGCTGGTGTTTCCTCTGTCTCAGTGAGAGCACTGCAGGGGCGATCAGCACACACTCGTTATACTGAATTTCCTGAAGATAGGTGGAGATTAGGAGAAAGATCAATGTATTTCCAACCAGAATCACCCACACCTCATTCTCACTAAACCACTATTTCCTGGAGACCAGTGTTTGGTTTTCTTAGGATAAGATAAGATGCTTTTACAGTGATTACAAAGCTGTTACCCTGAGGGAGCTGTAGAATTGAAGTCGTCTTTATATCCAGGTGTTAATATATGAGAGAGCAGTGCCGGCTGCCATTCAAAAGGCTACTGTTTCGGTTAAACATTTTCTAAGGTGAAAATATGATTTGCACATCTAACCAATCCATTATGATCCAGATTTTGTTCTTGAATTTCTTATTTTTACAAAAGCTTATAAAAAGCTTCGAAAGTTTTAGTGTACAGGAGCCTTTATTTTCTATAAGATTCGTATTTTTCCTTTTTTTTTTTTTTTTTTTTACACATTTTCTGTTAGCGCCCTATATTTCTGATAAATCCCCATCAGCTCCCACTTGCTTCATCTCTCACAACTGGGTTAAGAGAAATTTGGCTTTTTTCTTTCTTTCTCTTTCAGGAAAGTCACGTCCCGAGGCTTCTCACGCCCGCGGAGAAGGGGAGAGACCTGGAAGCACGGCTCCTCGACGCTTACATTGTTCAGTGTCAGGCCGAGGCTCAAGAAGGTATCTCAAGATTGTGAGGTGTTGTTAAGAGAAAGTCTGTATCGGCATTTACAAACATTATTATTTTTTTAAAATATATTTTATTGATTTTTTTACAGAGAAGAAGGGAGAGGGATAGTTAGAAACATCGATGAGAGAGATCAATCAGCCGCCTCCTGCACGCCCCCCACTGGGCATGTGCCCGCAACCAAGGTACATGCCCTTGACCAGAATCGAGCCTGGGACTCTTCAGTCTGCAGGCCGACGCTCTATCCACTGAGCCAAACCGGTTCGGCCAAACATTATTTTTTTAATTAATTTTTTTAAGGGAGAGGAAGTGAGAGAGAAGCAAACATTGAATTTTTTTGTCCCACTTATTTATGCATTTATTGGTTGTTTCTTGTATGTACCCACACCGGAGATCGAACCCACAACCTTGGCATATCAGGATGAAGCTCTAACCAACTGAACTACCCGGCCAGGCTCCCCTCTTCCCCCTAATTTTTTTTCAAATTAGAATTAGCTGGAATCCAGCCTTAGGTTTTGAAAAATTTACAGTGAGGAATAATTTTCCTTTAGCATTTGCCTTCATTTTTAGTTAGCAGAAAAAGGCCTCACAATGCCGTGTCTCTTTTTAAAAGGATTGGATTTTACGTTGTTTCTGACAGAATGAAGTTAATTCTGTAACTCATCCTGTCCCCCTCGACCTTGCTCAGTCCTTTTCTTCTTCCACTGTTTGGCTTGCCTTGAAGTTACCGCCTTTCAATGGCAGGAAATAAAGGAAGACTTAGGTGAGAACAATAAACTGTAGGCTTTTGTTTTTCTTTATTTCTGATTCCAGAGCCCGAAGGTGTTTGTTTCTTCTTACATCATGCTGTTTTATAGTAGTCATTTCCCGTGACTCGCTGGTCATTGGCTATAATGATTTATTTAAATAAAGAAATGGGCTCTGCCGGTGTGGCTCAGTGGTTGAGCGTCAACCCATGAGCCAGGAGGTCAAGGTTGCGAGCTCAGTGGGGCATGCAGGAGGCAGTCAGTTGACGATTCTGTCTCATCCTTGTTTCTGTCCCTTTCTTCCTCTCTCATCCTCTCTCTCAAATCAATAAAAACATTAAGAAATTAAAATAAATGGCATCAGAACCAGCAAGCTCTTTTTGTGTTTGCATTTTCTGTAGCTTACTTTTCATATTAAAACTTTGAAGAAACGACTGAAACCCCCCCATAGGTTGTTGGACTGTCTTTGGCCTTTAGAATTGAACTTAGATTCATTTGATTGTGTTTTGGCCACAGTGACAATTGCTCGAGCCATTGAGCTGAAGCATGCTCCAGGACTAATCGCCGCGCTGGCCTATGAAACAGCCAATTTCTATCAGAAAGCTGGTACGTTCATAATCCCGTTGTTAACACTTTCAGCCTGTAGGTGTTCAGATTAACCTGCGGGCCAGATAGGGAACAAGCAAATCAGAAAGATTCTCAGACTTTTCACTATTTGCAAAACTGCAATAATATCTGCATTATTTTTATGGATTTTGTTTAAAAGAAAATAAAAGAATTGGAGCTGTTCACAGTTAATATTGCTCCATAGCTTCTTATGGAAAGGATGGTACTATACTTTTTAACCAATTATGTCTAATAATTATATAGCTGTTTTGCTTTTGAAAAATTTTTGGTCTTTATTACAACCTTATAGCTACTATAGTGAGACAAGAAACTAAAATCCAGAGAATTAACATAATTGACCCATCATTTAACTGCTAGCAGTTGAGAAGCTGGGACTCGAACTCTGGTTGTCTCATTAGCCTATTTTTCTTTTCATTCACTTACTTAGGAAACACATGCATGTTCCTGTGTATGGGATGGTTACTATTTTAGTTACTGGGTACACAGAGATCACTAGAACAGATTCACAGTCTAGGGAAGGGAACAAACACATTATTGTGACATGAAGTAAGATGGTACAGCGGTGAAACGGAAGCCTGAAGGACCTGAGCCTGCGAGAGGACAGTGGTGTGTTAGCCTTATTTTGAAGTATAAATAGAAGTTCTCAGTGTGCTAGGAATCTTTAGCGATGGGAAGAGGAGAACTTTCTGTAGTTTATAGAGATACAAGGGAACTTAGCTCCTTCTGGGAGCTTTGGACAGATGCTCTTGCTAAAACACAGGAGAGGTTAGGAAAGTGTGTGTGGGTGAAGTCATGAATTGGTTTGCAAGCCTACCTGAGAAGTTTGGCCTTTATTCAGTAGATGTTTGGGGCCCATTAAATGCTGTAAAGTAAACTTGACTTGATTGCATTTGAGTTTTTAAAAGGTCCCTATGGTTGTAAGATGAGAAATGGGTGTGCTTAGGGGGAATGGTTCTAATGTAAGAGAAAATGATGAACACTTTGACGACGATAGCAGAGTAGGAAATGGGGAAGAAGAAATAGATTTAAGAGACACGTGACAGGATGTGTGAATGTGTGTATTTCAGATGAGATTCAGGGATGGGGCTGTGATGAGTGTGTCCTTCATGCTTCTGACTTGGGTGACTATAGACTACTCTTTGTTGCTACATAGCTTTTAAAAAATAGATAATAAAATAGTATAAATCATATTTACCTTGAAGTTCTTAGTTATATCTATTTTTATCATTATGTTAAACCTAAATTACATTAAACATCAAATCAAAGAAGGGCTCTGGTACTTAACCAATCTTATTATGTAGTTATTGGGAAAAAGAAATCACTTGAAATAAAGCGAGGTTTTTAAAAATGTGTAAATGTTTGAATTTTAGACTTGAATGTCATTCTCCTTTTAGCATCTGAACACATGAACTAAAAGTCGTCTAGTGAATCAGGGTGAAATGATATTTTGCTTTTTAAAATGTAACTTTAGATCATACTTTATCCAGTTTGGAGCCTGCATACTCTGCTAAATGGAGAAAATACCTTCTCTTGAAGATGTGCTTCTACACGGCTTATGTAAGTATGTGTAACCCGGAAACAATAAATTACGGTCTTCCCCACCCCTGGAGTGCCAGATGTGCCATCTCTCCTGACCCTTCACTAGCGTTTTACAAACAATGGACATTCTCAGTAGATGGTCACGGGCAGTCGGTGCAACCACCAACCATCATCTCAGAACAGGGTTCTAGCAGTGGAGTTGCTGTTCCACTTAAACCCACTTTTAAGTTGGACGCTTTTGCATACTTAAGAATTCTCTTATTTCATCCTATAGGAAGATACTTACTAATCCTAATCTTAAGACATACCGTGCATACTTCACCTTCTCTGGTGAAGAACTATTAATAAGCACTCGTTGGGAAGTGACCTTTTTGTCTCTTGTACCCACCAAACATTGCCCTGGCCATTGAGGCTCAGTTGATGGGGGCGTCATCCCATACACTGAAAGGTGGCGGGTTAGATTCCCGGTCAGGGCACACACCTAGGTTATGGGTTCGATCCCCAATTGGGGCGGGACACAACAGATCGATGTTTCTCTCCCTACCTCTCTCTGAAATCAAAGCACAAATTAAAAAAAAACAAAACCCTTTTTCAGATCTAGGGAGATATTTTCACTTCTTATGCCTTATCACCTGTTTTCAAGCATGCTGCATAAGCCATGTGTGTGCTATCCTTAAACTGATGTAGACATTTCAGAGTGAGCATATCTGACTTCATGCTTCAAACCGGTTTGGTCCTAATCTAAGTCCTCCCTCCCACTCCCTCTCCATTAGCACAGTGCTGTCCCTCCTTTACCCACAATGCCCTAGTTTTAGAAACAGGTTTCAGCAAATGCTTTTTGCTCTCAGCCCATGGTTAAAAGACTAGTTTGGCCCAAAGGTTTGATGTAATTCCACTTCTGATATTAACAGAGATGGGGGAACGCTTATTCAAGTAAATAAATGTAAGGGGTTGCATTGAAACTTCAAACAGTGGACAAAGGCAATGATTATCTGATGCATGTATAAGACAACGGCAGTGGAAAGCATCATTTGTGGAGAAAATGAATGAACATTTGTGTCTCTTATCAGGCTTACTGTTACCACGGTCAGACTTTGTTGGCTAGTGATAAATGTGGTGAGGCGATCAGGTCTCTCCAAGAAGCAGAAAAATGTGAGTATTCCCACCAGATTGTTAACTCCCTTCTTAAAAACACATGTTTTATCCTAAAGGGGAGGGGCAGTTAAGAGAGACTTTGGCTGAGTTCATGAACGGGGATGGGAATTGGAGAAAAGAAAAAATGTTTCAGAAACCTGGACTCTCTAGAGAGGACCCAGCTTCCCCTTGCACTGATGCTGGTGCTGCTGCATTGCCCGCCTTCTCGGTTTTCAAGCGCTTTTAGTGTGAATAATCAATAGCGATTTCACATCAAATGACTTTCTATCCCTTTCACACAAGCCTTTGCAAAGGCAGAAGCGTTATGCAAAGAATACGGAGAAACCAAAGGACCTGGGCCAACAGTCAAGCCTTCGGAACACTTGTTCTTCAGGAAACTTGGAAGCCTTGTGAAGAACACCCTAGAGAAATGCCAGAGAGAAAATGGGTTTATGTGAGTACAGCTTAGCAGTCTCTTAGTAACATTAATGCCAGGAGGCCGTTGTCGCTTGAACAGCACAGGTGTGAACAGCTTGGATCCACTCACAGGCAGGTTTTTTTGGTAAATACCGTAACTTCCACCCATAGTTGGGGATCCGCAGATGAGGAGGGTGAACTGTCTGCACTGATCTGTTTCCAAAGATTTTATGTCAGTTTGCAATTAAGATTAACTTTCATCTTCTCTTTACATTGGTACTAAAGTTTACTTGTGTTGTCTCAACGCTTATTCTGCTGCTGCTGACGATGTATAAAGGCAGATTTCAAAATGTAAACATGAATTTTCAGTTGATGTAATAGCCCCTTATATGGCCCTGATTTTCTGTTTCGCTGCCGTTCTCTCTCCATGAGTTATATATATCCTTACAACTCCCTTCGCATACTCATCTCACTCTGCTTTCAGCCACCTATACTACTGCCTCAGTTTTGTTATTAAATCAGCGTTGTTCGAACTGTAGGTTGGTAGATACAACTTTTTAAAGATATTTAAAGTTCCTACACTTTTTAAAAAATTATGAGTTAATTGGAAATAGGGAAATAATGTGCTCAATGTGGAAAACCTAGAGTGAAGTGCAAAGACGATAAAGCCACAGCCCTCATCACCTCACCACTCCCCTCGGAAAGCATTCCCAAACCCGACCTGGGTAAATTGCCCTCTCTTGTGTTCCCCGTGGCACTCTGTCATCATAGCTTCAGTCACACTGTGTCGTCGACAAGTTTTCTTCACTGTCTCACCTACCCATCTATAAGCTACACTAGGCAGGCTGCACAGGGCCCTGAACATAATAGGTACTCAAATAGTTAATGAATGAATGAATCAATAAATCGCTGTGTCAATGGCTTTTTGCAGTTACTTTCAAAAAATTCCAACAGAAGCCCCACAGCTGGAACTCAAAGCAAATTACGGCCTGGTGGAGCCCGTGCCTTTCGAATTTCCTCCTACAAGTGCGCACTGGACCCCGGACACACTGGCTGCATTTGACCTCACCAAAAGGCCCAAGGACGACAGTGTAAGAGACTGCGTTTTCCATTCCCTCACAGGTGTTTTGTAATCCCCACCCGGGGATTTTTAGAAAGTGGGCAGGGAGAGAGAGAGAAACATCGATGTGAGACAGATAACATCGATGGGTTGCCTCTTGCACGTGCCCCTACCAGGGCTGCGGGACCTGCAACAGAGGTATGTGCCCTTGACCAGGAATCGAACCCGACACCCTTTGGTCCATGGGCCGATGCTCTAACCACTAAACCAAACCGGCCAGGGCTCACTCACAAACGTTTAAAAAGAATTCAGGGTTAGCATTTTGATATTGTTCTCTGCACAAGTAGATATATATATCTGTCCAAATGTGAAATTAGCTAACTGCAGTGCTTGGTGAAATGTGTTCTAGGCCTCTCTCAGAGGCAGACCTCAAGGCCTTCATTGTCTCCTGATTTTCCACCAAATCGACTGGCCTTGTTTTCAACACATGGTCTTGCCTTCCTTCCAATTTGTCAGAGCCTCCTGTGGGAAGAGAGCGCCTCTGAGGAGGATGGCTCGCCCGTGCCTATTGCTCTGGCGATGCTCTCTGTTTCTATGTAGTGTCAGGCAGGGTAACTGAAAACTTGGCCTGATTTCAACATCGCGTGGAGTCACCCACCGGTCAAACAAGACTGCTTGTAATCACGTCTATCTAAGTCCCTGCTGTACTCACCCGAAGGGTAGATGAAGTAGAAGTGTTGAGGTTTGACTTCCAAAAGAGAGAGGGCTCTGTGAAAAAAAGGAAGTGGGAGTTAATTGGAATTTGTTCATGGTTTTTTTTTAAACTATAGTCCGGCCCTCCAATGGTCTGAGGGACAGTGAACTGGCCCCCTGTTTAAAAAGTTGGAGGACCCCTGCCTTAGAACTGTCTTTGTGTCCCGTCCCGCCTCCAGAATAGTGCCTGTCGCTGTCACGAGTGATTTCCAAACAGAGAGGCTCCTCCTGCATGTTGATCCTCGGTCTCCTCCTCAGACAGCGTAGGAGGAGCAGGAGTCTGACCTCTGCCCGTCGGTTTCCATCCCCACTGATGTGCTTCCCCATCATGTCTTCAGCCGAATTGATACGTAGCTACGGGAACAGCTTCGCTCCTCCACTGTTGGAGAATTTAATGTCGCGTCTTTTGAAAGTTGGAAGTGGAAAAGGTCTAGTGTTCGTTTTCTGAATCTTCGCTTCTGTTCTTACGTCGTATTGTTCTTTCTCCCTAGACCAAACCCAAACCGGAAGACGTGAGGCCCGTGAAAGAACCAGACATCAAACCTCAGAAGGACACGGGGTGCTCGGTCTCCTAAATGCATCGCCCCCGGTGTATGGGAGCCGCTCGCTAGTGGACGAGATAAGCCATGGACTTCCGTCCACATTTCTTGAAATGATTTCTCCGAAGCCTGTAGAATAATGTAGTCCATTCAGAGGGAATCGGCCTTCAGTGTAGTTGTTAGATTTTTAATATACTGAGGCTTCATGCTTTGTCTCCACATTTCTTCTTAACCAGGACAACATGGGGAAGACTTGATTCTGCTCTGAAGAGTGTATCTAAGGGTTGGGTGTTGTTTTTATTTTTTTCCCCCTCATGCTCTGGGCAGTAATAAATTACAGGTTAATAGTATAGGCCAGAGTCACGTGGTCATGGGCATGTTTTCTCTCTTTACAAAAAACATATTTTCCTGCCTTTTAATTGATACCAGCAGAATGACAGGAGTCTGTTTTCACAGACAGTGTTCCCTTCACCATTCTGTTCATTGTAGCACAGATTTAGGTTCTGAATTAGTTACCTTTTCCGCTGGGAAAAAAAGTCACTTAGACTTAAAGGTTAGAAAATGTTTATACCCAACCCCTGACGATCGAATCTATAATTTACTAAAAATCAGTGTTTGCAGGATGTTGAGATCACTTAAGGACTTCTGCTCAGGCAGCCGTGCACCTCGTCTGTACCTGTAAACTTTCAGCGGTTTTGACGAGTTCCTTTCTAATGGGTTTTTCACTTCCAGGGCAGAACTTGGCAATAGCTCGTATGTTTCTGTGCGAGGGGAGCCAGAACGAAAAGGTTTTTGAAGAAATCAGATGTTGCATGGTGTCGAGAGAAACTTTGAACCTAAGGGGAGGGTTGTCCCGAATTACACTGGTCACTCCACTTCTTTGTTAGGGAAGTTAGAGTAAAATGCTTTGGTTACCTGGGTCGTGTACCTTGCTATTATGTGATTTTCAGATACACAGGATATGTGTTGCTTTATGCCAGAGGCCAGAGCAAAAACAGAACACAACAACAGATTCAGTATGATCTTAACAATAGTTTGTAGTATTTGAAACCATTTCATATGTACATAGACTTGGGATATAGTGGATGCATACACCTGTAGGTTTATCTTTTGATTATTCTCTGGGGGCATTAGCTGATTTTCCTATTATAAATGGGCTGGCTCACTTAATAATAAGAGCAGTATATGTTGGAGCTTACTACATGCCGAGCCCTGCACCGAGCACTTCCATAGATAAACCCTTGAACCCACACCGCAACTCTGAGAAATAGTAAACTCTGCATAGAGTGTTGAAATAGGAATAAACATTTCATTATGAAGAATAGATTATGCCTGTTTGAATCAATATTGTGCTCAAATAAGTGATTACTAAAATCATAATTTACACTCTTGAAACCAGCTACCTAGGATCAGTGTGTTTAAAAAAAAATATATGGAATGCCACCAGAAGTAACATGGAAATGCTCCTTGCTGTCAAACGTTTTGAAGCTGCTGTTTGCAGAATACGTAGAGTAATAACTGAACAGACATCACATTGTAGTTTGCTGTCTATAGAAACTATTTTAATGAAATTCGCTGCATTGTGATCACAAAGCCATTCGCCTGTTCTCTGTACACCAGTAGCTGACAGAGCTGAGCTGTCCTCATTACAGCTTATGGCTGGGCCCGGAGGGTCAGCTTATCGTAGATGCCATGCTTATTAACCAAGCTCCTAGTTCTCACGTTCACATCGTGTGCATCATGCTACCACACACGGCATGAAAGCATGTAGTACGCTCAGTGCTTCTGTGATACGCAGTTTAGTCCCTCACTGGCAACTTTGACTTAAGCAGGTAAACATTCTGTTGACCCTGCAAAGGTGACACTTTGTGGCTGAAATATCCCCTTTATCATATTGTTTGAAATAGTGTTGGGAACTTGGGGAAGTTGAGGAATGTAAAGAAGTTGCATGAAGGTTCTAGAGAGGGAACTATTTGCATTAACTGTTGCAGACACTTCATACTTCACTTAAAGCGGATAATGACAGCTAACATTCTACTGGAAGTGCTGTTTGTATAATGAATTATCTTTTTATTTATGGAAATAAAAGTAATTTTACTTACAGTTTCATTGACATCTTTCATTTGCTCTATAAATATTTTTACATTTATTAGGCCAGTGACAGTTAACACGGTGCAATACCATAGTTTTTCACAGTGACATTGGGAAGTGACAGAGCCACGTGTGTCCGTTGTTTTATGCTACGTGAGCTATTCGGTTTCTGTTGATTGGTATTTACCACCCCTTCATCTCAAAGCACGATTCTGATGGGCCTTACCCGTAGTGTTTGTGCCTGTGATACAGTCTGCGTACTGTGGTTGGCTAGCCAGCGAGCTCACCATCGCTGAACACTGCTCCGCAGAACACTTTGTACTTCGGAAACTTGAGGTGGCATTTTCAGTGTTATATAAATGTACTCAGAAGTAAAACCGTATTCGGAAACAGTTCCTTATTCTCCAAACTTTAGAAAACACCACATGTCTTACCTCTTTTAATTTGTGCATACAAGTACACCACAGTGTCATTGTCAGCGAGGACTGCTCTCTGGGCTTCGGTGGCCCATCCTGCTGTCACCAGGGGCTTGAGGCCCTGGGTAGGGGGCGGGGGCGGGGTGTGGCGCGAGGGTGGGAGCTGGGAGCAGCGACCTGCAGTGGCCAGGTGAGCAGTGCTGAGGAGGTCTTACGTCAGCTCTTGGCTGCATTTAACCTGGTTCACTGAAAACATTTTGTGATGAATGGAAGCGGAAAGAACTCTAGGAAATTTTTAGGTATAACCTTCCAGAAGTTAAATGCCAAGATCTAGAACTAAGACGTCATTTTGTCGCCACAGATTACAATGCCGTGTTTCAGTGGAGGAGTTAAAGTGCAGTGATTAGTGTGTAAATGTGATGAGAAGTATATTAAAGGGTGGCCATTTAACATGGGGAGATAAAATTACAAGTCTGTTCTAGTTTTTCTAATCTATTCTATGGCACCTTCCCCCACTCATTAAAGCGAACTAACTATGACTCATTTACGAAAATACTGAGGTCCAGCTGCGTGTCAGGTATTGCAGGGGAGGCGATACAGCCAGGACTGCACAGGGAAAACCCTCCCACTCTGCCCGGAAGATGGGGGAGGGGAGAGGAAGACAAGGTAAGTGTGTCCCATGAGGGTAAGTGCCAAGGAGAGAGAGCAAGCCTAGGAGGTCAGGTGTTCGGTGGTGGTGGTGGTGGTGGTCGTGGTGGTGGTCGTGGTGGTCAAGGTGGTCAAGGGAATTGAAGTTGCCTTCAAAAAGGAGCTCAAATCAGACCTGGAGGAAGTGGGTGAACAAAGTCTGAGAGGACTGGTACAGAGGTCCTGCTGGGGAAGAGCCTGTGGCCGGAGTGAGGAGTGCGGGGAGATGTGTACAAGTTGAGGTCAGCGAAGTGTTAGGGGCCAGATCCGCAGCCTGTGGGCCATTGCTGGGACGCGGGCTTCCACTCCGGGTAAGGTGGAACCCCCCGTAGCGTTTTACGCAGAGGAGTGACATGATCTGACCGAAGATTTAACAACTCTGGGTGCTTCTGGAGTGTAGACTTAGGGGGAAGGAGGGTGGGAAGGAGGAGGCTGTGAGAGCTCAACAAAGACTCAAAGACAGGTTAGGATTGACGCTGTCGATTAGACACACAAGAAGAGGTGCTGAGCAGACAGTAGAATCTGTGATCGAAGATTTAACAACTCTGGGTGCTTCTGGAGTGTAGACTGTAGGGGGACACTTAGGAGGCCGCCGCCATCATCCAGGTGAGAGGTGATGGCTGAGATCAGGTGGGTGGCCCTGGAGTGGTGCTGTTAGGATTCCAAAAACATCCAAGAGTGTTTCCTGGCGGAGGTAATGTGAGGCGTGATGAGAAGAATCGAGAACGACTCCAGTGTTTTTGGTCTGAACACCTAGAAGAATAGAGTTGCTGT